TAGTGAGGTCAATAATGTGAAATTTAATGTTGACTGACCGTAGAGTCTCAGCCGTCAGCGAGGGAATTTCACACTGCTAAGATTACTTGTAGATGTGCGTTTTCACTTAGGATTGAATGGACTCGCTGCAAACCTTGACTACTATTGATTAAATCGAAAATTGAGCTTATTGCAATTGTATTAGCTGTCCTGCATAATGTATATTTCACATATTTTTGCATTTCCTTAATTTTTTTGCTATTATACTTTGATTGGTGATACATATATAATCATATGAGATAGAAACACGATACATTGCCTGTTGAAAAGACTTTATAAGAACAATACATAAATCTAATGTCCAAAACAATGTAACACCATAGAGATCAATTAGGATGAAAGACGTTTTATAATCGTCTGTAAGAACGAAATGAAAACGTCATCCAAATAGATATAATATAGTAAATTACTGAATCAAAACATTTAAAACTAGAAAAGCACTCAGAGAGTGCAGACCTCCGCCAAGGTGTGTATATAATGTACTTACACCGCTGCTGCGTCCAGACGGTAATTCGGAATGTCAGTGAAATGTGGTACACGTTTACCGTAGATTTGTATACTTTACTGATTAATTAATGATAATAATAATAATAACCAGACGGTAATTTGGAATGTCACCAAAATTTAATCAGCTCTAAGTTAGTCCCTTTCTGACTTGTCCCCAAAAATTCGATGAAATCCGGCCAGCACTTTTTGAGCTAGGCTGCTAACAAACAAACTAACCAACAAACCAACGCCGTCAAAAACATAACCTCCTTGGCGGAGGTAACAAAAGCGGAACGCCAAGTGCGGCCGCTAAGACTCACTTGTCGAGGCAGGTGTCCGACGCCTCGACGCTGGGGTCGTTGTTGGGGCAGATGCGGAACTCGAAGTGGCCGCCGTGGTTGCTGGTGACGTTGACGCGCACGGTTATCGTCTGGCCCTCCGTGTATGTGCGCACAATCGTCCCGGTGGCGTACTTCCCGCCGGCCTCGTGCGGCCGCGGGTTCTCGTCCCACGCGTCGCCGCAGATGCCGCAGCGCCCGCTCTGGTTCTGGTACTGGTGCTGCGGGAGCGAATCGTGTTAGCCCTGCTTTGGTTTTGCCATTGCTAATGCTATTGTTTATCAATGTACCTCCAAAGCATAAATTAGTATTCATGTTAATCAAGACCGCCAGCAAACCATCCTCAACGTGAGCATGTTCAACACGCGGCCTCGTCACTCACCTCGACCCCCCCACAGAAGCTCTCGTCGTCATTGTAGTCGACGGGCACATCAAAGCCGAATCTCCAGGCAGACGCCCGCGAGGGGGGTTCCACCAGCCGCCCGTGGCCCCAACACGCGCCCACCACCTATCACGCCCACGGTGGAAAGAGGGGGAGAAGGGGAGAGAGGAAAGGGGGAATTAGCCAGAGGGACAGAGGATGAATGTGTCTATCAGAGAGAGAAGAAAAATAGGGAGATAAAGTGATAATATGTCATGTATATATACGTACATATACATATATTTGAGTGTGTATGTATGTAATATATATGGTGAGAGAGATGGAGAGAGAGAGATGAGAATGTATAAATGACCGAGAATGAAAAGAGCAGAAAGGATAAAGACAACCGTAAGTAAAAAACAATGAGATGGAGTACGCAACATTATTTTTTTCTATTTAAAAGGATGAACAAGATCATAAAAGGGCAAGAGGACGGGGCACAATGATACCCAAAACAGTCATGAATACAGCATTACTGTAAACGATGACAGCAACCGAAAAGAAAGGCAAATTTACAATCTACATTTTCTTACACCTTATAAACAAAACAATTTCACGAACATGATTAGCGGGAAATTAGGAAAAACAACAAAAGGAAGAATCTATAACATTAACATTCTTTTAGCACTTAAATTGTTAAAATGTTGGAGTTTATTTTTTTTATTTGTGACGATAGGAAAAAAGAGAGTTGTTATTTATAGATGAAGTAAATAAAACGGTGAAAAAATATGACAAGTTGATAATAACTCACAAGAGCGAGCGTCAGTACACACTGTTGCCACAATTTGCCTCCCATTATAAACCTGAAACAAAAAGAAAATATTTTTGTACAATTTTGAATGATAGAAATGAACAAAACTAAGACTTCAAACCCAAGTTGAATATGTAAAGGAGATAAATGATTTAAACCTAAATACTCAATAGTTCTGATTCGAAGTTACAATTCACATAATTATATAGTTTGAAACATTGGACATATGTAAAGACCTGCACAGGTCTCAGCAGATCAAATTAATGGCAAAACTAAACATACAAAAAAAGACAATGTTAAGTATAACACACACAAATACACACATATACATTACATACATACATATATACACATGATATGGGCAATTAACAAGAAATAATAATACAAAAAAAAACGGTTACAGATGCATCCGCAGTTTCAAATAATGACTCATTCAAAAAAGGATTTAAAAAAGGGAAAGTAGAACCTCGCTCGTGATTTCGGACAAGGGATGAGCCGAGGATGAGACGACAGCAGAGGCATCTTCCGCCGAGGACGCGCTGCCTGGCTGGTGGCTGCCGTTCGTGCCGAGAGCAGAAAGTGCCGTTATTCGCGGGAAAGAGACGAGGGGATATAAAAATGGGGAGAGAAGAGAAAGAAGGGAAGAAAGGAAAGTGAGGGAGATGAGAGGGAGGAAGAGATAAGGGATGGAGGTGATATAGTGAGAGAGGGAGATGTATAGAGAGGGATAGAGAGAGAGTGGGGGTGAGGGAGGGAGGGAGAGAAAGAGGGGTAGAGGGAGAGAAAAAGAGAGAAGGGAGAGAGGGAGAGATAGACAGAGAAAGATAGAGAGAGAAAGGAAGAGGGTATGAGAGTGATTTAGAAAGTGCAGACCACTCTTAACCTTGGCATTCTCTTCTCAGTCTATTCAATCAAACGCAAAGCAACCTAAATAAAATGTATAATTTTTCACATACAAAAATCCCATTTTACTATCCTTAAAGCTGTCCTTTATTGGAGATCCAGATTTTACATTTGTTTCCTTTCAAACTTCATAGTTGTCATAAGTCCATCGATACGTAAAAGTAAGGCTTAACAATAACGATAAAAGTACCTGTACAATGTAGTTTAATAACAGTTCATAACTGTAGAATCAATTTAGTTATTAGTTCTCGAGACTTATTCTTTTTTTTCAGCATTTAGTGTTTTGGTAAAATTCAGAATTCAGGTAGTTCAGAATCAGTGTCCATAAATTGCATCTTACTGTAAGCGTAAGTGACCGCCGCAACCACCAGATGTAAGCGTAAGTGACCACGCAAGCCACTAGATGTAAGCGTAACAGAGATGGACTTGGGGCGGTCAATGAAAGGGGTCTTAACTTGCTGGTTTATTTCTGAAGATAGATATGAGACCCCCAAGAGACCCCCGTGTCCCCGGGTGGAGGACGAGGTGGTGGAGCTGGACCCTGTGTCGCTTGGCCTGTATGCCGTGTCTCCTTCTGTCCCCTGTGTCTTAGGCACGTGCCCTTTTATGCGGCGGTTTCCTTGGAGGGCGGATGTTTATTCCTGTGTGAAAAGAGAAAGGAGGGCAGCACCTGCATCCTGCGCAAGGAGAAAGGCATTTGCTTGGACCGAGGTGTGAATCTGCCATCCGGTCTTGCTACGTATTGTTCACACTTACTAATTGTCTTCATTAATTTTATTTCTTTAGATATAAAATGTAACATGATTCAGTACTCTAGCATTTCAATTAAGAAAAAAAATACATACAATTTTATGCATTCATTTATCAACAGGCGTATTGCCCCGGAGTCGATAGGCTTTAGCGAGTTGAATTTTGTCCTCAATTTACTATTTGGTGTATGATCATTTCTGTTTAGTGTATATTCATACCATTACGTGATAGGATTACGCCGCACAGTTAGGTTATAGCATTATTCCGTGTACTGTATAATTTAAGAAGAAACGGTATTACATAATATATCACTCATATACCACTGCGGATTACTGCTGAGCCTTGAACAGGCAGCTTTGCCGATTTTGTGAAGAGTTAGAGTTCAGGCACTTTCTAGATCAGTGGTTCTCGAAGATTTTTTTTCTTTTTTATTCATTACGTGCCCTTTTACTTTCATAGGAGAGAAAGAGGGGGGGGCAGAGGTAGGGACATAAAGAGCAAGAGAGAGAGAGCTACAAACAGATACAGACAGGCAGACAAGCAGACAGAGGAGATACCTAAAGAGCAAGAGAGAGAGGGATACAAACAGACAGAAAACCAGGACAGAGACAGATACAAAAAAAGGAGGGCAAGAGACAGCCATACAAAAACACACAGACAAAGAACTTGACAAAGACATAGAAAGAAACTTATGTAATTTGAGTGTCGTCTTAAAGGCATATGATTACGGGCAATTACAAAGTAGAATATATATATATGATTTATAAATGAAGGTAGGGTTACAAAAATGTACAGATCAAATGAAATGCCAATTCTAGGCATTAATTTGTCATTGGGCTTCGTATGGTTCAAGATGTGGTTGTTTATGTTTGTTGTGTGTTCACACATATAAACGTATTTATGTATATATATGTTTCCATGTATAAATATTGGATATGTACATACAAGCATATAAATGTATTCCTCTCTCTATATATATATTTATGCATACATACATATATACTGCATATATTAATTTATATAGAAAAGTATATATAAATGTATATATACATCTTATATACAAATATATGTGCATATATATACGTACAAATATATGTCTATAGACAAATATATATATATATATAAATATGTATATATATTCATATATATATACATATCCACACACACACACATATAAATACACATGCGTATATATATTTTAACACATATATATGTATATATATATATACATATCGCACATATGTATGTGTGTGGGTACATATACACATATAAATGTAGTTAGGTATGGATATATATATATACTGTATAAGTACATACATACATATAAACGCATTTCATATATATGCATATACATGCATATACATACATACATATATAAAAATGTATTTATATATAATATGTATATGTATATATCTATAAATATATGTATAGATAGGTAGATAGATAGTTATCGATATAAATATAGATATACACAGACATACATTCATATTCATATATATACACACACACAAACATATATAATATGCATATATATTGATATATATGTATAAATATATAAGTAAGTATATATATGTGTGTACATATATACACACATATATTCATATATATATATATATATATATATATATATATATATATATATATATATATATGTGTGTGTGTGTGTGTGTGTGTGTGTGTGTGTGTGTGTGTGTGTGTGTGTACATATATATATATATATTCATATATATGCAAACACACGTATATGCAATGGAAGCAATGTAGCGAAAAGGCCTTCGGCATACTCTTGTGTTTTCTTTTTCGTCCCTTCGTTGTTCTATTTTCAATTTGTTCGACAGGAATTTCATACTTACATATTCATATATATACATACATACATGTATAAGTATATGCATATGTATACATATATATGTATAATTACATATACACACACATATATACATATATATAATATATGTATATGTATTCACACATATATGATATACATATATAGGTAAAAATATATACAATATAACATAGATATACATATAAATGTATAAATATATACATATATATACGTACATATATATACATATATACTCGTATATATAAAGCAAGCAACCGTCTGCGGAGCACTTACCAATGCCGGGAACGCGAGAGCAACGGAATGGTGCAAGAAAGGTCTCGGCGTGGCACCAACTGGTCCTGAACTGACAGCCAGTGCCGTCCGGTCACGGTTTTTATCTTGGTTGAGGTCTACGTCAGAGAGTGCCACGTGGGCATCCTCCAGTGCCATGAGTTCTTTTTCAATTCAAAATTGCTGTGTAAAAATCGGCAACGATGACGGTTCCCATAATGCGCTTAACGTCTGATGATTTACGACTTACGACCTAAAAGTCTTTCCTGAGCGCGTAATTATGAATCTCTATCTCTCTCTCTCTATTTATCTATCATCTATCTCCCCTCTCACTCTCTCTATCTATCTCTACTCTCTTTTTCTCTCTCTCCCTCTGTCCTTCTCTCTCACTCTCTCTCTCTCTCTCTCTCTCTGTTCTTCTCTCTCACTCTTTCTTTATCTCCCTCTTTCTTTCTCTATCTCTCTCCCTCTCTGTATCTCCTCTTTATATATAACTATACACACACATGCATGTGTATATGTATACATATATATACATTATATATATGTATATGTATATATGCATACATGTACATATATATACACACACATTTATATATATAAATATATATCCATATCTATCTATCTATATACATATAGGTATATGTATATGTATGTATATAGACATACACGCACATTTTGCACATGCGAGTGTGTGTGCATTCATGCAAAAGCACATCACACGCACGCGCGCGCGTGACCACACGCATGGATTTGCTAAAGTTGAGTAAATCAGACCTAGACACGGTAGGGGGTGAGTCTATCGTAGATATGATGGTGGTTGAGAACCACAAATAATGATTACCTAACCAACTGCTCCCTTAGGGAAGGGTCATGCGTCAGCCACCCCAGTATAAAAACCAAGTCAACAAGTTTTTCGTCAAACGTCGCATATATATATACACATGTATGCATATATATGTATATACATTATATCATATATTTATACACACATATATATATATGTATAAATATATACATATATATGTGTGTGTATCTATATACATATATATGTATTTGTATATAATATATAAATATTTATATATATGTACACACACATATATATGTATCTATGTATAATTATGTATATAACACATATATGAATACTTATGTATATAACACATATATGAATATTTATGTATATAGCATATATATGTATATTTATGTATACAACATATATACATATATATGCATATATATAACATACATATATATAATAGTATATATATAATATATACATATATATGTATTAAATATACATACATATCTTCTCTCTCTGTTTCCCTGTCTTTCTCTATCTGTCTATATATATGTTTCCCTCTTTCACTGTCTATCTATCTATATATATCCATCCTCTCTCTCTATCTATCTATCTTTACCTATTTATTTTCTCTCTCTTTATCTATCTATGTCCATCCCCTCTCTCTATATATATCTATCTCTCTCTATCTCTACCTATTTTCCCTCATTTACTATCTGTCTATATTCATATGTCTATCTATCCATCCTCTCTCTCTCTCACACACACTCTCTCTTTCTCTATCTATCTATATATCCATCCCCTCTCTCTCTCCCTCTCTTTCTCTCGCTCTCCCTTCCCTCTCTCTCTCTATCCATCTATCTCTTTCTTTCTCTTCCTCCCCCCTTTCTCTTTCCCTTTCCTTCTCTCTCTCGCTCTTCTCTATCTCTGTGTCTGTCTATCTGTCTATCTATTTCTCCTCTCCTCTCTCTCTCTCTCTTATATATATACATCGCTCTCTCTCTTCTTTCTATCTCTCCATCTCTCTCTCTTTATATGTATCTCTCTCTCTCTCTCTTTCCCTCTCACTCCCTCTCCCTCACCCTCTCTCTCCGTCTCCTATATATGTATCTCTATATATATGTATTTATATCTCGCTCTCTCTCTTCTCTTTCCCTCTCTTTCTTTCTCTCTCTCTCTCTTCCTCTCCCTCACCCTTTCTCTCTATCTCCCTCTCTCTTTATCTATCTATTTCTATCTATTTTTACTCTTTCTCTATCTATATATATCTATCCATCCTCTCTCACCCCCCTCTCTCTCTTTCTCTATCTACATCCCTCCTCCCCCTCTCTCCGTGTATCTCTCCTCTCTCTCTTTCTCTATTTGTCTATCTCTATATATCCATCCTCTCTCTCTCTCTCTCGCTCTACCCTCTCTCTATATTTCTTTCTCTTCCTCTCCCCCTCTCTCTCAATCCATTAATTGATAGCAAGTACCTCACAGTCTCTCTTCCTCTCTTCTCCTTTCCTCTACGTTAATCACCTCTTCCTCTCTACCCCTCACACTCTCTCTCTTTCCCCCACCTCTCTATCTCTTCTCCTCTTCTCTACTCTCCCCTCTCTCTCTATTTCTTTCTCTCTCTCTCTCTCTTGATATATACCATATATGTAAATGAGATTAGTACATGTGATGATTATTTATTACTAAGCCTTACTCAGAAATCATAAAAGAATCGTTCTAACACTAACATCAACCATGTAAGATGAATCCATTTAAGAGATGAATGGCAAAAGAATACTTTGATTTAGTATGAAATTTATCAAGGCTGTTATGTATAGATGAATTCCACTTATGGACTGTTGTATATTGTGTTATGAAAAATATAATCTTTTTAGATATACGAATGTTTTTTTTTTTGTTTGTTTGTTTGTTTGTTCTTTAGTTTTTATCTATATATTTGTTTGTACTTTATGTTTGAATACGGAAATGGTGCATCCTTTCAACATACCATTTGTGCTTATTACCGTCCTTACCGTTCATGTATGCTCATAATTACGTACATGCACAAATAAGAAATTATATATATATACAGCGTATATAGAGATACTGCCAGAATATAACACATAATACAAAACAAAAACCAGATAGAAACTCACTCGACTGTATATCAAAATGAATAAAAACAACTGTAGCAATGATTATAAATGGGTAAATTAATGATTAATGTAATTGTGTACTTGCAATATACATATCACTAAAGAGAATGATAAACAAAAAACAAAGTAGAAACTTTAAAATGTAAAAATAAAAAGTAATGAAATAAAGGAAATATACAAATATATATATATATATATATATGTATATATGTATATATATATATATATATATATATATATATATATATATATATATATATAGACAGGAACAGAATGCACTTTAACTTGAAGAGTTGTTAACCTGCCATCTCCGTTATACAGGCCAGATCGTCTTGCCTTCTTCCGGTGTCCCGCGACCAGCTTAGCGCCATACACACGTACCCATCAGTCACTCTCCAACACTCGCAAGGGTAACCACACCCATAACTCATAACCTAAATAACAGGCAGTGCGCTTTATGGACTTCGTTACGTAATATTTTATATAGTCTTCCGTATGCCTGTGTATGCACTTTGGGTGTGAATGCATACGCTATCACGTTTGTCTATCTCAAATACATATCACAGCTTCGTCTATATCATTTCTACTGTATATATATATGTATTTATAGCATACTATATATGTAGAAATATACGATAGCATCTCTTTCACTCTCTCTCGTTCTTTATGTAATGCATATATATACATACATAAAATGACCTCAGCTGTCACTGCGTCTTGTTAGTTCGTAACATGGTTTAGGACGATTAGCAATCACTGTACGAATTACAGATAGCAAATTAAGAATTAGCTCATTCTGACTTTAACCAAATCTGTATCATTAATTCAGTCTGTCTCTTTTTGAGGATCTTAATCTGAATATGTTTCTTTTATTTTCGTGATCATTTGCATTCATCAGTTATGTTCATCGTTACTAGCAATTATGCTATCCTGAGACACACACGCAGACACACGTAAAAACTGTACAGTCACTGTACAGTCACATACAAACATCCAGACACAAACAAACGTAGACAAACGCAGACAGTCAGACATACGCAAACATTGACACAAAGAGCTACAATAATACAGACACACACTTACATTAACTTCCCCACAGACACACGCACACAAATCTACCTACCCACAGACACGCAAAGACAAGCAGTACACTGCAATATATATAGGAATATCTTATAATTATACACGTAGAAAATTGTTATCAGAGAAAAATAAACTTGAAATAATAGTAATAATAGTAATAATGATGATAATGATAATAATGATGATAATGATAAAATAGTCTACGCTCAAACGAGTCACAATGACTAAACCGAAAACGAGAGGAGCAAGCTTGGGAGACCGAAATAAAGCACAATACGATTACAAAATTATATAATGGATGAAGAATAGATCATCTTGAATGGTTCCTTACAGGGTACTTGACTTTTTGATATTACCTGAACCCCTTCTTGGTAATTACAGTGATTCCATTCATAATAATTGCATTAGTTATAAAACTGCAACCCCTATAGCATACCATGCAGTGGTCAGGTAATTAAACTGCTCCTTGACAACTGTTTGCTCTAATGTCTGCACAAAAAACTGACGAGTGTTTTGAATCTCAGTTTTCTAAGATATCCTGGACCGCTAAGAGGTTGTTACGAAGTTCTATATAAGTATATAGAGCTTGGGTACTACTGCCTCTATAGAACTTATTGTAGCACTAACCAGGACAACGTGGGCGCTTGGCTGTGACCATGACATGACAACTCCCCCTTAGCCCAGGCACTCATTGGTGGCTTCTGAACCTTTAAACCCTTTGACATATTTTTATACTCTTTGAACCAAATGTCAGCTGCTAGCAACAATTGAAAAGTTGTATCAGCCTAAAAGCTACCTTTTCCCTATATTTACTGCTATATTCCAACAAATATTTATACATTTTACATTTCCTGTATTGTGTTTTCGACCCCCTAAAACAATAAGTTATATGATGAACCAGTATAAATCATTAGAACAACTCAATTTTTCATGCCATGAATTATGTCCTATGCTGGACTGATATTACCATAAGTTATATATCACAAGTTATGTATCTGCCCTGCCAGCCTATTGAAGAATGAATAGATAAAAAACAACACCGAAATCAAGTTATATTTCCAATTATTTTCGCGTCTACGTGTGTGAATTGTATGTACTACATATACGAATTACATGGCAGAGAACCAACAAATTTGATGATA